CCCCAAAACCCCAAAACCCCAAAACCCCACATTGGATAAAACTTGTTGAATTATAATTAATAAGATATGTCCTCTCACTACTCAGGAACAAAAAGCGAGAATAGATTTGGAAAAAATATCAGAAAATCTCGAATTGCTTTACTCACTCTCTCTCAGTCATCCACAACTGTCAACCCTTACCAGAGCAGCATAACAAAGAAATAGCTTTAAACTTCCTACCTCAATTTCCCAATCTGATCTCTTAAAGCGTAAGTCTACTCTTAAAACCTAAAATCTCTCTATCTCCCTAAAACTTCCTAGTCAACTTCTCTCTTTCGCTAAAGAATCCTCCAAGCTCCGTTCATAGCCCTCAAATTCACGCTATAGCAGTTAAATTTCAACTCTTTGAATTCCTAGCTTGGTCTTCAGCATTTAGTTAAACATAAAGTGAATTTTAGCTGGGTTTTACAGTCGCGAAGCTTGCTTTAGCTTAGACAAAATCACCTTAAAGCTATATCTTGCTTCAAATGACTAGTTACCATGATGTTTTGTTCAGAATGGAATAAGAAACTTTGGGCATGAAATTTAGACACTTCTGTTGAAGAGAGTATAAGAATTGTTTCTAATTTGATTTTAGGCATTGGAATGAAGAAGACCCAGACTTCTAATAATAACTCGATTGTTAATAAAATCCGAGAGGTTACAAGCAATGGAAGCTCTGCTTATCTCAACCAAAAATCTCAAATGACAAGAAGTAGGAGAAGGAGATTTGACAAGAATTTTGAGGAGCTTCTCAAGCATGACCATGTTTCAGCCTTGAAGAATCTTGATCTATCAATGAATGCTTATGATAACTGCTCAGAAACCTTCGATATTGATACCCCACAGAAAGGTAAGCTATCAGTCTGGAGATATTTTTGCCTAAACTAGAGATTTTTAACATGAACAAAAAATTTTGAGATCTTGCTAATGCCAGCTCATTAAATTTAAATTATGATAAATACGATAGCTCTCATTCCCTAATTTGGGGAGGAATAATATCCAAGATAGGAAAATCATAGCCTAGTTTAAAATCTGTGTAATTTTAAAAATATTGTAGAAAGTGGGTCCGGTTCTTTCATACATCTGGATTCCCTTACACTTATAAAATGACATAATGTTCTTTTCTTATTCTTATTAAAACAATAATAATATTTGCGATTGTATAAAACCTATTTAGGGCAAACTGAAAGTTTTCCTATTGACTGTGGGTATATTTTTATTCTTAACCTAAAATAATGGAAAACAACAGTCGCTGTTTTTATAAGAACTACAGTTATTTCAATTAACAGAAAGTTCTGAATGCTGTATCTTGAGACAAAGGTGTCTCTATTCAGTCAGAAATTTTGCCTGAATAATTCCTAGTCATTAAGCTAAGGGCTCTTGAAGCTCTAATTACGCATAGTTTAATCAGGAAGAGGTTTAAGCTAGAGAAATCCTTGCTTAGATAGTTCTGAGTGAAGCTAGATTAGAATTCCTCATACATTGTGAAGTCGTTAGAAGAGCACTTCTGTGGAGGACTGAACGAGCTCTGAGGGATTGTTAAGGGTCTAGTTGAAGATAAATAAGTAGTAATGAACAGATAGCTTGAGAAAAGAGGAATAGGTATATTAATTTGAACTTAATACTATTGAAGCACAAATGAGAAATGTTTTCTGAAGGGTTAAAGCTGATATCATTAGGAGTTATGATAAGCTTTGAGAAGAATTTTAGATCGAGAGAAGATATTTGGTATGCTCTAGCCATCATCAAATTGCTGATGTGATAACATGGTTCATCTAATTTTTATTTGAGCATTTCCTTTATCGAAACTACTTAAAAATAATCGATTCTAAACTATTCTGAATAGTATTGGTATTATCATAAACTAATGATATAATTTTCATAACTTTCCAAAATATCACTCTTTTGCATATAGTAAAGAGGCTTTAAGTTTAAACTATAGACTCTTATAACTCCAGACCCATTAAAAATACCTTCATTTAAACCCAGAAGTACATTCAATTCAAAAGCAGGGAACAATCTTCATCAAGAGAGGGAGGACTTTGAGCTATCTAAACTTAAAATTCTCAAGACACAAGAGCCAAAATATCCATTCAAAGAAGAGTCTATCAAACTCCCTCTCCTCCCAAACCTCTACTCTCCCCACAGTCCTAGCACAAGCAGCCTGAACTCATCCAACTCCCAATCCTCCTCCAACTCAACTTCTAAATCCTCCAATTCAAAACTAAAGCAAACTCTGAAGCTAAAATTAGGACTCGCCCACCTCCATTTCAAAAGCAGAAGCCTACTTAAGTTATCGAATCCTAAAAGACCCAGAGCCCTGACTGATACCAATTTGTTCTCATAATTCCTTACTTGTTTGTCACTATCAGAAATTGTAATAAAGTTTGTCTCAAAGTGGCGTTTAATAAGACTTGATTAGACTTCAATCTGAGCTATTAGTATTGGGGTTTTGGGGTTTTGGGGTTTTGGGGTTTTGGGG